TTTTTTTTTTTGTTGAAGAAATAGAATAGTGAAGGAAATTTTAGGTGTAATTCTAGTTAGTAAATAAATTTAACTACTTGCAAATAATATTTAAAATGCATGCACTTTTATTTGTATGCCTAACATATCAAAAAGGGAAAACGTTTCTAGTCTCATCACCTTCAGTTAGGAATTACATGAATCGCGTAAATTATACCATATTTTCAATTCAAAACAGCGAGATAAAAGGTCCCTTTCAATGTCTGTGGTAGTTACGGCCCTGATTGTGACATGCTGTGACAAAACCATGTGAAATTTAGCTTGTGTAGCTATAAGAATTTGTGCGGAAGTGCTTGCGTAGGATCTTTTTCAAGTCTTGCAACTGACACATTTCAGATCGCAATAGCACATTAAAACGTGTACTTGCGTAGAGTATGTTTCAAGTCTTATAAATTGCGTTCTTACACATTTCTGAAATCAAGTCCTCAAAAAAATGTTCTGTTGCTTGTTGTGATTTATGAAGCGATACACTCTCTACTGTTCAAAACTTTGGGGTCAGTAGGAATTTTTTTTCTGATAAATTATATACTGTTCAAATATATATTGTTCAAAAGTTTGGGGTCAGTAAGATTTATTTATTATAAGGAAATGGATACTTGTATTCATCAAGGTTGCATTAAATTGATCAAAAGTGACAGTAAAGGCTTTTACAATGCTACAAAAGATTTCCATTTCAAATAAATACTGTTTTTTTTAAACTTTATATTCATTAATGAATCGTAAAACAATGTATCAAAAATTTGAAGCAGCACAACTGTTTCCACATTCATAATATTAAGAAATGTTTCTTGTGCAGTAAATCTGCATATCAGAATGATTTCTGAAGGATCATGTCACAATGAATACTGGAGTAATGAGCTTTGCATCACAGGAATAAATTACATTTGAAAATATATTACAATAGAAAACAGTTATTTTAAATTATAATAATATTTCACAGTATTACTGTTTTACTATATTTTTAATCAAATAAATGCAGCCGTGGTGAACTTAAGACACTTCTTGCAAAAGCATTTAAAAACCAAACCATTAACCAATCCCAAATTTTTTAATGTTTGTGTAAATTTAATTGCTTTTATCCAGTGCTGTCAAACAATTAATCACATCCAAAATAAAAGTTTTTGTTATGCATGTGTACTGTGTATATTTATTATGTATATATAAATACACACACATGCATGTATGTATATATATATTTAAGAAAAATGTTTTGTTTATATATAAAATATTTATATTTATGTGTTTTCCGCCAACTGGCAACCCGGGGTGCCGAAATACAATTGGGTAAACTGGCAGTGGGTGGGCTTCACAAACCAAAACCGAGACCGACATTCCGGCCCGGAACGCAGATTGGACAATAACTGACTGTAGCATTGTTTTTCAGATAAACAAGTATGTTAACTTGGCATGTTTCTTAAATATCTGCAAACACATTATGGTAGTTTTATGCTTTAGTAGAGTCAAAAACTTACATACAGCACCTTTAAGTGTTATCTGACATTATCAAGATTAATTTATTCTGACACAGTTTAACTCTGAGTTCTTGTCGTATTTTATTACCATTTTCTAACCTATAGCGAATAAACTGTGATAATGTGTGAAATGTGGAAGGTGTCTGAATTAATTTAGGTTTATATATATATATATATATACATACATACATGTAAATATTTTAAAAATATATACATGTATGTTTGTGTATTTATATATACATTAAAAATATACACAGTACACACATATATTATATAAACAAACACTTTTATTTTGGATGCGATTAATCACGATTAATCGTTTGATAGCATTACTTTTATCATATTGCGTTTGGTTTGGACATGGTGTAATGTAAAAATTGCTGGATTACTTTTTTGGTAAAAAATAAACAATTTATTAGGTAGTCTTTTAGCAAATTCATTTATTCATGTGTCTTGCTCAAGGGTCATTCAATACTTTGTGTTTGTTTGCGTTGAACAGTCTGGAGTCTGAGCCATTCTCATAAGTCAGAAATATATCTTTGATTAATCCGTCCATAATCATCACATGTTGATTTGGTGATAAGAGGATGAGGTGATGTGTCAGATAGTCCAGGCCGGGCCTTTCTCAGCCTGTTAGCACGGCTGTGCCCCATCATAATCAGATCTGGCTCTGATGTCCCACACTTGACCTTGCATTGGGTGCTTCTCACTCCTGTCACAAGTGCTGCTTAACACAGTGGAGAATTAAATAATGCAGAGTATGTTATGAATATTTTTTTTTCTTGGTAGGGAGCAGCCAATATTCAGCTTGAAGGCACACGTCTTCCAAATTGACCCGGCCACTAAACGAAATTGGATTCCAGCCAGCAAACACGCCGTCACCGTCTCCTTCTTCTATGATGCCGACAGGAGCGTGTATCGCATTATCAGCGTAGGGGGCACTAAGGTGAGAGACAACTTAGTGTTGTTGCCGCAATTAAGGCTCTTTTTGTTATTTGTGCCGTGATGTTATTAAAAGGTGATATTTTTGTGTTTTGCTCTAATGCAGGCGATTATCAACAGCACCATTACACCTAATATGACCTTCACGAAAACGTCACAGAAGTTTGGCCAGTGGGCGGACAGCAGGGCCAACACAGTGTATGGCCTTGGGTTTGCCACTGAGCAGCAGCTTCAGCAGGTAAATGCATATTGTAGCACGGTTTTAGTTAATGGATAGTTCACCGCAAAATGAAAACTTTGTCATCATTTACTCACCCTCATGTTTCAAACCTTTGTGAGTTTCTATCTTCTGTTGTGCACAAAAAAAAAATGATGTGAAGAATGTTGGTAACCAAACAGTTGAAGGTAGCCATTGACCGGAGGAAAATACTGTGGAAGTCAGTGGCTACAGTCAATTGTTTGTTTCCCACATTCCTTAAAATATATTGTTTTGTGTTCAGAGGAAGAAAGAAATACATGCAGGTTTGGAATGACATGAGTGTGAAAATGACAAAATTGTCAATTGAATTTGAATTTAAGCTTTAAGGAATGTTGTGGGTTAAGCAAATCAATGTAAATTGTAAAATAAATTGTAAAACAAACAAAAAAGTGGATTAATATTTATGGATTTATACAGGACTTTTGACACTGGCTTTTTTGATAAGGAGCATATGTGCTCCAAGTTGAAAAATGTGAGTGCTTTCAAAAACGTTATGGACGCAATGAAAATGTTTAAAATAATGTGTGTCTTTGATAAAGGGAAACAAGGAGACATTTACAGGCAAAAGTATATAATTTATTAGAATACAAAAAAGCACAATTTTTTTTTTTTATATTACTGCTTCAGTTTAACTTTAATTAAAAATGTAAAATTATTAACTTTTTTATTTTTTACAAGTTTTTCAAATGTAACATTTATTTTAAACTTGTATTTATTTATTTGATTTTTTTTGTTTTTTTGTGTGCTTTCCTGAAGCTCAAGCAGTAGAGCAATAGCGCTAGCAATGCCAAGATACTTGAACTGATAAAAATGTAGACCTTTAATGCAGTGTACATTTCTTCAGATAAAAGTGTCTGCCAAATGCATAAATGTAAATGTAAATAATCTCAAAAAGTAGTTGAAAACCTTATATGTGACGCTGGACCACAAAACCAGTCATAAGGGTCAATTTTTTGATATTGAGATTTATACATCATAAATAAGCTTTCCACTGATGTATGGTTTGTTAGGATAGGACAATATTTGGCCGAGATACAACTATTTGAAAATCTGGAATCTGAGGGTGCAAAAACATCTAATGAAGTCCAAATGAAGTTCTTAGCAATGCATATTACTAATCAATAATTAAGTTTTGATATATTTACGGTAAGAAATTTACAAAATATCTTCATGGAACATGATCTGTATATATCCTAATGATTTTTGGCATAAAAGAAAAATCGATAATTTTGACCCATACAATGTTTTTTTGGCTATTGCTACAAATATACCCAGCGACTTAAGACTGGTTTTATGCTCCAGGGTCACATATAACAAAATAAATAAATTCTATTATTATTATTTTGGGTCAGTACAGCTGACCCAAAATATCCATGAATTAATGGTCAAATTGACCTGCAAACATCATAATCGTAATACAAATTTTGCATGTACATATGCACATTCCACAACTTTCCACAAAACTTAATGCGAATCTGTCATGAGAAATGAGAAATATTCTAGGCTAACCAGTATTTCCGACAGCTCAAATTTTGTTACGAGTCAAATTGACCCATAACAGATAGCAATGTGTATGTATTCATGATGTAATGAGAAGTGACATTTTAAGAGATTTTCTGTCAAATTTAGGGCTTCACTGCATGTCATGGCTAACAATGACCTTTAGCCACATCTTTATTCACAATATATCGTGGCCTCTTGTAACTTATGTCTATACATTTGTTAAAAACTTTGATGAAGTTACTGTGAAGGTTTTCGTTATGTCTCTGTAATTATCTGTGCAGTTCTCAGAGCAGTTTAAAGAGTTTAAGGAGGCTGCACGACTCGTCCGGGATAAATCACAGGAGAAGTTTGAGCTGTTGAGTCCTGGCCTAAACATCTCTTCTCCACAGGTAAACACAGTAACTCGGATTTAACTTCAGATAAACCTTTTAGGATTGTGACTGAAAACAACAAGTATGACATGTAACAACTCATGTCATACTTTCTCAGCTGCTCGATTCAGATAACATGCCAGAGCATTTCATTCCATCACTATTAACCGCTCTAACAATAGCGTAGAGGATCATCTGGCCTCTAGTGATATGATACCTAACACATGGTACAATGTATCAATTTTAATACCAGTCCCACAAGAGAAGTGCTCCACTGTGTTTATTGTTTTTCTGAATTCTTAGGAGGTGTGTGTGAGTCACAAAACATGTCCTCGCATGCCAGGAGGTGACACAGATACACTGGTTGTAGCCCGTGTGGAGTTATGTAACTCTATGCGGTCACCCGGGGAATACAAAAGACTGGTTCATTTTACTTTACAGTTGGCTAACCTTTTTCATTCACCATTTGTGACACACTCATCCCTTAATTATCATGCCCATTATAGCAGCCTGAGAGTATTCCAAAGTCTACTTACACATCAGATTAGGACATTGCTTTATATAATACATATTCTTTGGTTAAACCGCTCATTCCGGTTTGACTTGTTTGCCATGAACTGTGCAGTGTATTTATTTAGTCAAAAACATAATTAATATTTATAATATATTTATAATATTTCACCCACAAATCAAAATAAATAAATCAGAAATTGTTACATTATATTACATTTACATTTGATTAAATTAAATGTTATTATTACGGTAATGAGAAGCACCAGTGAGAACAATTGGGGTTTTGAGAAAAAATTCAATTCCCAGATGCATTATGGTAATGAGAATTTGGGGGGAAATGTTCATTTAAATCGATGGGGGAGAAAATTACAGTATTTTTAGACGGTAAAAATCTTGTCTGGATGCTATATGGGATTGAGTATTTTGTGGAAAAATAAGATTAATTTTTATTTAAATAATCTTACAATCCAAAATGTTTAATCCTTGTGCATCCTTGGAGACATTTTTTGTCTTTTTAAAAAAAAATTTGTGATAATTTTGGCTGTGTTAATGGAAAAAAAGCATTAGTTATGCCAAAACATTTTTAAATGGAATTTTAATATGTCTCCATCATTTGCTTTCAGGCTTACACTTAATACAATAAATAGTTACACTCAGGACTTTAAGGCAAAAATGTCCCCAGTGAAATCCATTAAAATTGCAATATTTTATATCAGTGCCGTTTAAGCATAAAATCATGCATTCTTTGTTCATGGGCTTTTTTATAAATGTGAATTCTACCTTTGTGAATACAAATGATGTATGTTTTGTAAGGGGTTATACAAATGATGTATACAACAACAGTGCCGTTATGTTAACAAACTGGCATTTAAAGGATGAAAGGATCCTTTAAAGGTGAAAATTTTGTCATTTTTTGCCAAAAAATGAAAATGACCCCATTATTTACTCACCCACAAGTCATCCTAGATGTATATGACTTTCTTCTTTCAGACGAATACAATCAGACTTATATAAAAAAATCTCCTGGCTCTTACAGGCTTTATAAATATGGATGTTTTTCTTACACAAATGCATTGCTTTACTTCAGAAGGCCTTTATTAAGCCGTGTGGAGCACTTTTTATGATGGATGGATGCACTTTTTTGGGCTTCAAAATCTCGACCCCTATTCACTGCCATTATAAAGCTTGGAAGAGCCAGGACATTTTTTAATATAACTCTGATTGTATTCGTCTGAAAGAAGAAAGTCATATACATCTAGGATGGCTTGAGGCTGAGTAAATCATGGGGTAATTGTCATTTTTGGGTGAACTATCTCTTTAAATGCCATTTTTGGGTGAACTATCCCTTTAAAGGATTAAAATCCTGAAAATGAATACATTTTGTTAGTTATGATAAGGACTGATGTTGGTAAAAATATCTATGTCAGTGAAAGAGGAAAAAATATTAATAAGGTATATAATATTTTTATGACAGCTTTTTGACATGGACATTTTTTTGTTCTCTAAGGACACATAAGGGTTAAAGGGGTAGCTTACTGCCAGCAAGATTGTGTTTTAATGAAAGTTGGCTGTCTATGCAGTAGAAACACTAAAAAAACAGGTAAAACACAGAAAAATAATTGCTCATTTACTTCTACTACCAACACTGTAACAAAACAAGGCTGGTTGAAAATCGGCAAACTTACCGTTTAATAGTACTGTAAAATGCTTTATGTGTTGTGTGCCCATACAC